TTTGTATGACCATAGAAAACTCAATATTTTCTATGCTGTATGACTGTCAAATGCCTAGGGTCAAATGCCATGTGGTGATTGTGGTGTAGTGTGTGATTGACTGGTGTGATTTAATTTTATTTGAATAGTATTATGGCTCTTCTTAAAGCAAGGAAAAAACATGCTTCCAAAAAGTTAAAAGTATCTTGGCGAAAACACACTGACATTCATGATGTAGAAGAGTTCTTGGAGGACCAAAGATTGGAAGAGCGTTTAGGGTGAGAATTTTGATGAACTGATACATTTCTATAATTTATTCTTACCCACTATAGGCTTTCATTATCTACTATTTCCGATAATGAACTGTTCAAAGTAGATATTAAACCGTCTGTGGAATTGTTGTCAAAAAAGGAAAAACAGAAATTGAAGGCAAAGAAGCCCTTAAATTGTTTCTCTGCTCTCGCACCCAGTACAAAAGTATCTGATCCAATTGCAAAGCGGTGAGTTTGTATTCTATATTATGAAAATATTTAATTAATTTGAATATGCACAGGAATCGCGTAAAGACTAAAGACGAGCATAAAAATGATTTGCTGAAAAAGAAAGAGATAGAAAATCTTACAAGAGGAATTTTAAAACATAAAGAAATTCAAGCTAATGCTAACCGAAAATTAAATGAACTTCAGAGAAAGGGTAAATTGAAAAGAAATTTTAATAAGGACTTATGGGAGAGTGGTATGCAATGAGATTATTTCAGTGTTATAGAAAATGTAAATTATATTTTTTGCAGGTAAAAACTTGCAGATTGAACAAGATGAATGGGTTTCAAGTAATACCAAAAAACATAATATACGAGGAGTTGGTATACCATTGAAGAGTATAAAGAAGGCGGAAATAAAAACGAAGAGCCCCTTTCCAGCTGTGGAACACCCACATCCTGGGATGTCGTATAATCCAAGCTTTAAAGACCACCAAGATTTGCTTAGGATTGTGACAGAAAAGGAGATTAAACTTATTAAAGAAGAAGATCATTTAACAAGGTGTACCAAGGGAATGTTCCAAAAAATCTTTCCCAGCGATAGAGATGTAAGTTTGCTTTTGATTTGGTAAAAATTTGCTATAACTGTTAGGTAAATTACATTTCCACATTGGGGTTAAAAAAAATGTTTACAATTTCAGCAATCTTGGTTAGTGGAAATGTCTGAGGGCCTGCCAAGTAAAAATGGTACAAACATTGAAGAAAATGAAATTAGCGATAATGAACATAAAAGTGTGAACCCCCCTACAAAGAATACCAAGAAAACTCTAAAACAAAGAAAGAAACAGAAGGAACAATTGGAGTTAGAGAAGCGCAGGAGGTTAATAAAATTAGAGAAGAAAAAAATTACCGATATTTGTAAATTAAATATTCTTAATAAAAAAATTGAGGCTATTGAGAAAAAACAAAACATCTTACGAGAAAAACGTATGAAAAGAGCCGAGCAAAAGAAGAATAATACAAAAGTTCTGAATTCTGCTAAATTTGAGGAACCAGATTTGGAATTCAGTATGGGTCAAGATATTGCTGGTAACTTGAAGAACATGAAAGTGGAAGGCAACTTACTCTTTGATAGATTTAAGAGCATGCAAAAGCGGAACCTTCTGGCACCAACAAAGAAACAGATTCGCAAGAAGGCTAAAGTTAAGAAATATACCAAACCAGGGCATAAGGATGAGGATTGGAAGAAAACTGTTGCACGATAAATAAACATTTTAAGTAAAAACTGTTGAATGATGAAAATGTGTATTTTTTATTTGTCTGAAGTGAACACTTAAAAATAAATTTCAAAAGTAACTTTCTATTTTGATTTCACAATCTGCCAGGTGTCATATTGACGTGATCAATATGAAAAGGTGTGAAAATAAAAATGACTAAAAAAAAGTAATTTGCTGTGTAACAGTTTATTTTCAATATTTAGATCATACGTTTTTCTTATTAACGTTACATTTCTGAGATAAAAAGTGTTAAATTTGATTTTTCTTAATTATTTTTAAATCAACTACAGATAAAAAAAATTATATTTAATACCTATGTTTGAGGGGTACAATTAAATTTTTTCATGGGGAACACAGTATTCGATTTATAGGGTTTACAAAAAAAAAATTCTGTCGTCTCCATAACGCAATTCGATAATTTTTCCAGAAATAAAATTTCGACAAAAAAACTGCCAGTGGTGTATTCTTTTCTTGGGAAAAGTTGACATTTCATCAAATAAAAGGCTTAATTTATTAGAAAAATTCAATAAAACAGAAACAAGCCCATGAATCTCATAAATGGTTGCTATATTTAAAAAACGCTATGAAACATTTTTCATTCATTTAACATAGTACTAGAATTTAACAGTATTTACCTACAGAAAACCGCCAGTGGCATTTTGTTTTCTTGGGAAAATGGGCAGCACCTTCAGTAGCACGCTACTGGTTAAAGCCATAAGGTTAATGTTACATTCAATAAAAGGTCTAATTAAGAGAATACTCTATTAAATTTCATTCAATTCCGTCAGCGTATTATGAAGATATAACAGAAAATATATTTTTTTGTAAACTAACACCCTGTAGCTCAAATACCACATCCACCATGTAAAAAGTTTAAACAGATAACTATTTATTTTTTGGTAATAAATTTATTCCTGCAGTTTCTGTATTTAAATTGAAATCACCCTGTATAGCAAATAGGTACGAATGGAGAACGCCTTGACAAAGGGTACTGTATAATTTCATAAGATATTCTGAATTGGTCCTTTATGATGTATAATTATTCATTTGATTTACAACATCCAAAAAAATTTGGGAATATAACTCGGCGGCCGAAATTATAAAGAGTGACTAATACATAATATAAAAACACTATTACCATAATGCGTATAAAATATAAAATGATTTCTGTGATTGTGGTGTAGTGTGTGATT